TTTTTTTAATATTTTTATTTTTTAGTTATTGGCGGACACAACATCTTTGTTTGTATGTGGTGCTGAGGATCGAACCCAGGCCGCACGCATGCCAGGTGAGCGCGCTACCGCTTGAGCCACATTCCCAGCCCTCTTTTTTATATTTTATTTAGAGAAAGAGTCTGAGTTGCTTAGCACCTTGCTAAATTGCTGAGGCTGGCTTTGAACTTCCTCCTGTTTCAGCCTCTGGAGCCTCTGGGATTACAAGCGAGCACCACCACACCCCACTAAAAATATCCTTGTACTTAACAGATACATGCTAAAGGGGAAGAACAATTTTGAAAGCTGAAGTTTAAAATATATAGAAAGAGAAAAATGTGGTAAAATGTCATTTGGTGGGCTGGGGTTATAGCTCAGTGATAGAGTGCTTGCCTAGCATGTGTGAGGCACTGGGTTTAATCCTCAGCACCACATAAAAATAAAACAAATAAAATAAATGTATTGTGTCCATCTACAACTAAAAAATTTTAAAAAGTCAGTTGGTTAAATTACATGAAGAATGCTCTTTGCACCATCCTTTTAACTTTTCCATAGTTTTAAAATTTTCAAAATAAACAGGGACAATGCTTTAAAAAATTGCAAGAAAAGAATAAAGAATAAAAAGCAAAAGAGAAAGGATTCCATGTAAAGAATAGGGACAGCAAGTACAGGTAACTGTTTCTGGGAGTTTGGCTTAAAATGGAGAAAAATGGGCAGTAACTGAGGAGAACAGTAAGAGCCCAGGAGACATTTTTCTCTACATTTTTTCTAAGACTGAACTAATAGGATGTTTACTGTTGTATTGTTTTTATGCTTGTGGAGCATTTGCCAAACATCTATGAGGCCTTGGGTTTGGTCCCCAGCACCACTAGATAGATAGATAGATAGATAGATAGATAGATAGATAGATAGATAGATAAAAAGGAGAGAGAAAAGACTTTGTTTTTTAAAAAATGTCAAAAATATTATAAAGTTATAATATTTAAAACAGATATTTGCGTAAAGTAAATGTCAGTGGAACTAAACAAGCAGATTTAAGCTGCTTCAGTGACACATGCTTGTAATCCCAGCGGCTGGTAAATTCAAAGCCAGCCTCAGCAATTTAGTGAGGTGCTAAACAACTTAATGAGACCCTGTCTCTGAATAAAAAAAAAAAAAATAGGATTGGGAATGTGGCTCAGTGGCCTAGTGCCCCTGAATTCAATCCTCAATAACCCCATCAAAAGAGTGAGCTATTCAATTTTTAGAAAATGAGGTAATTGGACTATTCATTGGAATAGTTTCTATTTTCACCTCCAAATTTCAGTTTGATTAAACGACTATTAAGGCTGGGTGCAAAAGGCACACTTATAATCTCAGTGGATAGGGAGGCTAAGACAGGAGGAGTGTAGGTTCACAGTCAGCCTCAGCAATTTAGAAAAGCTCTTAGCAATTCCACGAGACCCTGTCTCTAAAATAAAATATAAAAAAAGGGCTGGGAATGTGGCTCAGTGGTTAAGTGCCCCTGGGTCCAATCCCAGTTCCTAAATAAATAAATATTAACAAAAGGCCATTATGAGAATAGTTTATTTATTGTTCCACCTCTATCAACCTGTCCCCTAGAAATACAAAGTGGGCAAGAGTGTTGAGTACGTGCACACACGTGTGAATAAAGCAGCACTATTTGTTAAACTGAAAATTTGAACCACCTAAATGTCTATGAATAGAGAAATGGCCAAGTAAAATTTTATGGCACGATATTAAGAAATACAATGTTGTTTTACAAGGATGAGGCAAAGATCTATATACACTCATTGAGAAAGATTTCCAAACTCTGTTGTTCTATATAGTCAATCGTAATTATAATTATAAAAAGGGGGCTTATTAGGTTGGCTTGCGCGACCAGAAGCTGGATAGCCCACAATGGCCCTCTGCAAGCTGGAGAGCTAGGAGAACCAGTAGCTGCACAGTCCAAGAGGCAGAAGCCCCAGAAAAGAGGGATCATCCGTGCTACTCCAGTCTGAGACCTAAGCCTTCTGAACAGTCACTGTCAGAGTCCACTTTGGAAGAGTGAAGAAGAGAAAGTCTGATATCCTCAGCTGATCACAGCAGCAACCAAAAACCAGTTCAAGAAGAATGGAGCTTGTATCTGCTAATGCTTCCTTGTTTTTCCATCCAAGTCATCAGCCTAGTGGTCCCTCAGGCCCAGTTTAGGGAGGGTTTCCATTTCAGTTGGCTATCCTATAAGCCAATCATTCCTAGACACACACTCATCAACACACACATAATCCTTTCAGTCGTTGGTTTATCTTAATCCAATCAAGTTGACAATTCAAATTGACCATTACATTTGTAAAAATTTAAAAGCAAGCTGTGGAATGAATACACCATTTTTCATGAGTTTAACATTAACCACCCAAATAATTTGTAAGTACATGTATGTGTGTGTGTGTGTGTGTGTGTGTGTGTGTGTAGTATATACACAAGTACTATATGTGCATGCATAGGAAAGATCTGGAAAGATATACACCAAACTGGTAACAGTGATAGCCTAAGGGAAACAGTAGTTGTAGAATCTGGAAGTTCTAGCCAAGAAGCCACCCAGAGGCATGTCCCTCAGAGCTCTTGCTACCCAACTTTTATAAGGGTAAGTATTAATCCAGTGCTTGCTGTGTGCCAAGCCAAACACTGTACCAAACCTCTGTTTTATCTCATTTAATTCTCACAGGGATCTTTGAGGTAACCTTTGTCATCCCCACTTCAAATGAGAGAACTGGATGCTCAAGTATCCCCCTACCTTCCCATCCCTGCACCCTCAGTGCCCTGTGCAGATCAGTGTTTGTGTTTCTGCTTCTCAGAATGGCCCTTTTGCACCCCTCTGAGTTTCATTCTTTCCTAATCATCAAAGTCTTCTTTAAGGTAGAGAACTAGCTAGGCCTGTGCCATAATCATGAGCAGGACACTAACCTCCATGAACCTCAGTTTTCCAGTTTAAAAAATATCACTGGTGAAACATGTAATTTCAGGTGATTTATGAACAAACATTTAAAAGATTTTTATGCTGAATATGAATTAGTAAAATAAACATCACACAAGAAACCTGAGATTCCAGGTTGCACCCCTAAGTTCAAATTTTGAGTCAAGTAAAAAAAAAAAATTAGTAATAGTTTTATAGGTAGTGCTGGAAAAAGTAAAAATAAGGAGAAAAGTGAGAAGAGAACCTCTGGGGATCATATGGCAGAACGTTTGGAAAATGCGACTTGTTCATCTTCACTACGTTTGAATCTGAAATAAACAGTTCTGATTCTGTGTGAAGGGAGGGGAAGAGGAGAAGAAAGGTGGCTAGGATTTTAGCTAAAATGACACTAGCACATTCTCAAGGCATGCCATGCCTGGGCTTAGCCGGCTGCAGGGCCTGTTGGAACCTGATGGCGTGTAATATTCGTGGCTTCGCTGCCAGCAGAACCAAGGCGACCACACTGGCATCAGACTGGTCAGCAGATGGCCGCGCATCAGGTCCTTCCTGCAGGTCCCGGGCAACTCTGGCTCTCAGGCGAACGGCCAGGATGGCCTCCTGAAGAGTACTGCCCCCAGTTTCAGGAACCGGGGTGTGGGAAACGCTGCCCCTTCCTGCTTGGAGCATCTGGGGTGGGGGTGAAGGCGCTTTCCGGGCCTGAGAAATGAGGCTTGTGACCCTCTCTGCCCAGGATCCTACTCATCCCACCGACCACAGGTCGGGGAGGCCGATCCTCAGTATCACCCGAGCTCTATCCTCTCCCCTCTTCCCCACTACGGTGGCCCTGGAGCGGGAGTCTTTCTTATTTACGCGTCTCCAAAGTCGCCTCCCGACCTGGGCTCGCACCCTCCTTACCCTCGAGGGCAGGAGTGACCCTTCTAAAACGCTGAGCCTTCGAGTCACCTCCCGCCCCACCGTAGAGGCATTAGCCCCGCGCAGGCACCGCCCCCTGGGGAGGCCGCGCCCACTGGCGTCCGCCACGCCCACAGGCCACGCCCCTCGCGGCGCAGTCCGGGCGGGGGCGCAGCTGTCTGCTTTCCCGGGTTTCTAGACCCGCAGCGCCCTCCTGGCTAGCACTCTGGCGTGGTCGCCCAGGACCCTGAACGTCCCAGCCGCCCCGCCCGAGCCGCCAGCGCTGGCTGCCTTGCAACTCCTCCGGCTCTTGGGATTTAGGCCCCTTCCCTTAAGGGAGGGGTCGTCTCCCGTTGCCGGGTGAGCCGGGCTTCGGCTGTGAGCAGGCTGTGGAAGGGTTCTGCGTGGCCCCTGGGAAATAAAGCTCAGCTGCCTCGCTAGTGGGTGGGTAGGAAGGTAATATGTGATCGAAGAATCCATTTAAGATCGGAGAAATACTACGTTGATTCTTGCCAGGGCTTGTGGGGGGGGGGGCAGTAGTTCCCAGGCTCCCACTTTTATCCTCCGCAATCTGGTCCCTTCTGCTCCGCGAGAGTGGGCTTCAGTCTTTAAACTCCCTGGCTTTAAACCACGTGGATCTGGTTGAAATGGATCAGAATACAGTTGCAGGCTCACATCTTCTGGGTGGGGGCCCCAGAAGGCCTGGAGGCAGGCACGCACAGGACAAATCCTATCTTGAAGGCACCATGTAGAGGTGGTTGTTTTGAATCTGGGACTTCATTATGTTGCTCAGGCTGATCTCAAAACTCCTGGAATCAAGGAATCCTCCCGCCTCAGTCTCCCCAATACCTGAAACTACAAGTGTATGCTCACCACAGACGGCAGCCCAGATGTTTTCACAGGACAATTTTAAGCCTTGTTACTACCTGAAGTTTCAATTTTTTATCCGGGCACCCAGCCAGGAGCTAGGAGAAAGCTAGGACATGCGAAGGCAAGTCCACTCAGAAGAGGGAGGCCAGAGCAGGGCTTTCACAGCTCAGGACCAGAGACAGGTGGTAGGGCTTCAGGATCTACTTTTACTTAGTCATATGAAGTTGTCACCAAGTGATCTATTCTGAGGTCACTGAAGGACTTAGGATCTGCCTCTGTGGAACAAGAAATCCTAAGCCCCTGAGGAGATGGGCCTTGGGAACACCAAAGGTGAAAAGGTATTTAAATGCCTTTCAACAAATGTGTCTTGATTCTGCAGTCATGGGGTAGGGCTGTCTCTCCTGAGGGTTTCTTTCTTTATCTATTTATTTATTTATGATACTGGGGATTTAATCCAAGGTCAATTGACCATTAAATGACCAGCCCTTTTTTATTTTATTTTTTATTTTTTCATTTTGAGACAATGTTTCATTAAGTTGCTGAGGACATCACTGATTTACTGAGGCTGGTCAAATTTAGGCTCCTCCTGCCTCAGCCTCCCAAATCCCTGGGATTACAGGCCTGTGCCACCACACCAGGCCTCTTGCAAGGGTTTCTAAAATGTTCTGTTCATTTTCTCTCATGGCTGGGGAAAGGGTCCCAGAAGGCCTGTGTGATGGCACTCTAACAAATCCCACCTTGAAGGCAGCATTGCCCTGTCCCTGACCAGAAGGCTTTGACGTTTTTAATCTGGGTCTTGTTGTGTTGCCCAGGCTGGTCCCAAACTCTTGGAGTCAAGGGATCTTCCCACCTCAGGCTCCCAAGTAGGTGGGACTGACTATAGGTGTGGGTTACCACACTCAGCTGCCCAGAAGGTTTTCGCTTGTTTATTTGTTTGGTTTGGGACAGGGTCTTATAAATTGCTGAGGATGACCTCAAACTTGCAATATTCCTGCCTCAGCCTTCCCAGTGGCTAAGATTACAAGTCTCTGCACCACCATACCTGCCTGGCAGCCTTGAAGTTTTAATAGGATCATTATCAGCAGAGCTGAGGAAGATTTTCTCCAGTAAAGCCTACATCCTGTGAAAGAGGCATACACCCCACTCTTGGGGACTTCAGCAAGGTTCCTCCTGACATCTCCCTAGTGTCCCCCTTCTCAAAAGTCTGGGTCCTAGACCCACAAAGCTCTTCTTCCAAGATCAGAGGCACTAGAATCAGTTGAGCATCACATCCTTCTCAGAGGGCTGTTTCAGCTCCAGAGCTTTTCCTCCAAATTCTAAGCTTTAATAATTGAATTCCCCAGCCCCAGAGATGGTGGCTGCTTTCTGCAGTTGCTACCTTTGTGACACCTTAAAGCTCCCATTTAAGGAGGATGCAGTGGTGCACACTTGTAATCTCAGCAACTCAGGAGACTGAGGCAGAAGGATTACTAGCCTTAGCACTTCACAAGGCCCTAAGCAACTTAGCAAGATCGTGTCTCAAAAATGTAGCTCAGCGTTTAAGCACCCCTGCATTCAATTCTTATTTATTTTTTAAAAATATTTTTAGTTGTAGATGGATGCAAAAAATAAATAAAATTTTTATGTGGTGCTGAGGATTGAACCCAGCGCCTCACACATGCCAGGCAAGTGCTCTGCCAATGAGCTACAGCCCCAGCCCATTTATTTTTTAATTAAAAAATTTTTTTAAGTTCCTATTTACTCGTTCTCTTTCAGTTACTAGATAACATTTTTTAACCTACTTAACAATTCTTTTTTTTTTTTGACGGTACTGAGTATTGAATCCAGGGACTTACTCATGCTAGGCAAATGGTCTACCACTGATCTATATCCCCAGCCCACAATATCATCTTTCTATCAAGTCAGCTGCTTTGGGATAATAAAGTATGAGATTAAACCCATTAATTTCATGACCATTCAGCTGTTACAGCTGTTCTTTTGATGTGAAGCCACTTCCCTGATCAGAAGCGGTATTGTATGGCATATTAGGACAATGTGTGAGGCAATCTATAGATCCATGCTGGTGATGCTGGCAGAAACAATATGGTGAGGGAAGGCGAATCCCTATCAAGAATAATGTGGTTCACAAAAGACAAGTATCTGCCCCTTTCATGATGGAAAAAATCCAGCATTATCAACTTGCCATAAGGTTGCCCATGGGGCAGCAATGGGTACTCAAAAATGTTTATCTCTGTTATTGGCAGATTAAGCAGTTAGTATCTGGTTGAATGAGCCTTGATGAAGAGAAGTCCCTGTTGTTGATGAAGATAAGTCCCTGTCCCTTGCTGTGATGGCCACTTTGTTACATGGGCCCTTGAGTAAGCACTGGCTGACTCGGGGAAGAGACTGACTGACCCCATAGAATATGTTATATTCCCAATTGTCAAGAGCATTCTTTGCAGTGACACGCTTTGGGTAGTACTACGGTCTCTCAAAGGCCTATGTGTTAAAGGCTTGGTCCAAGGTGCTATTGGGAAGTGTGGGACCAAGTGGTAGGACCTAGTGAGAGGTGTTAGTTCATTCAGGGCGTGACCTTGAAGGGAACTGTGGAGTTCTGGGCTTTTCCTCCCTCTCCTACTTTCCTGCCACAAGGTGAGGGCTTCCTCTACCATACACTATCCTCAGTTCTGCCTCATCACATGTTCAAAAGCAACAGGGCCAACTGCCCATGGATGAAACCTCCAAAACCTTTAACCAAATGAACCTTTCCTCTTTTGAAGCCAAATAAGAGCTTTCCTCTTATTACAGTAGTGGAAAGCTAATGAACACAGTGAGCATTGACATTGAGACACAAATAACTTCACATTGCATGCCCACTTGAAGAGATCCAGCCACATACTCCTTCCCCAGAACTTGCCACCAATCTTCCGGTCATATTCCTCCCACATTCCTGACAATGAGCCAATGTAGATATCTACTTATGGCCATCTCTTGATCCAGACAAAGTGCACAAACAAATGTGCCTCTTTATTTCTGCCCAGTAGAAAGACTTATTTTATCACCGTTCTTCAGGCCTACCCTGGAGTGAGGCTGTAAGGCTTCAGCTGTCCACTTTGTATCGATGCCAGCCATCTGCAGAGCCATCTGTAAATCAGGCACAAATTTCTTTCTCCTCAGTCAGCTGATCCCAAAGAATGTTCTATGAGGTCCCAGGACTAAAGGAAGAGAGGTGATGGAGCAAGTGTTGTGGAAGGAGCCCCAGCCACCTGCCTGCACAGCTTACTCAAGCCCTCTGGTACCTGTTCAAACTGAATCTCTTGTATACCATGTCCATGTGATATGAACCTGCTGCCAAATGTGCCCCATTCCCTGTCTTGGTGAGTAAGAGGACATCTGGTATATGCATGGCTACTTGATGGCTCATGAATCCATGGTTGTTTGCAGAAACAGATCACAGATTGGCCCCGGACCTCTGTAGGCCTGTGCTGTGACTCTCCTACTGGTACATACCTGGGGCTTCACCCAGCATCCCCATTTGCCAAATCCACTTGGAATATTGTTGGATCTGCTGGATCATCAGGGCCAAGTGAAAGAGCAGCTTGCGCTGCAGCCTGGACTTGCTGCAGAGAATTCTCTTGCTTTATATTCACCCCAAATTATTTACTTGATGTAGGTTATTTAAATCGATTTTCTATTTTTTACTTACATAAATTCAACTTCATCCTAAGAAATGGTATCTGTGGTAGGCTGATTACACATTTTCTTCTACATAAGTAGAACAAATACTTAAGATTTAAAATAAAAACTTTCATCCAAGGGCTGTGTATGTTGCTCAGTGGTAGGGCACATGCCTAGCATGCACGAGGCCCTAATTCGATCCTCAAATCAAACCCAAATCAAACCAAAAAAAACTCCCAATCTTCATCCAATTGCTACCTAAGTCATCCACTATGAGTAGCACCTAGCCCACCCTTTTGGAAACACTCCCCAGGGAAGGAAAAACCCAAAACAGCAAACCAAGACTGTCACAGTTAGGTCCAAATATACTAGGGGATATCACTTAAATTTTTTCTTCTTGGGGTCATTTTTCAAGAACTCTGATCCTTTGACCATCAATTGAGAAGGAAATTTAATTTCAGCTGTTACTCAGGTATTGCAGTAGCCCTGCCATTTAAATTGTGCTAGTAGAACAATGCCCCTCCAGAATCAGATTACCCTCTCCTTGAATTTGAATAGGCTTCTGACTCTAGTAACCACTAAAATGTACCAGAGGTGACACTATACCTTGTGGAAGAATGGTGCTATAGTTTGGATTCAGAATGTTCCCCCCAAAGCCTATGTGTTAAAGGTGGGGCCTCTTGAAGAGGTTGATTGCCACTAGGGGCATGCTCTTGAAGGAGACTATGGGACACATTTCTCTTCCGTTCTCTTGCTTTCCTGGCTGCCATGAACTGAGCAGCTTCTTCCACCATGCAGTCCCCATCAGATGTTCAGAAACAAGGCCAATCAGTTATGAACTGAGATCTCCCAACTGTGTGCAAAAACTAAACCTTTCCTCTTAAATTTATTTTCAGGTATTTTGTTACAATAGTGGAAAACTGACTAACACAAATGTTATCCAGATGAAAATTGGGGCAGATGCTATGGAAGGGAGAATGGATACTAAGGAAATAACCACAATTTCATCTAAAGGAGGCCACAAGTAAGTGTCTACTATACCCAGTGCTGTGTAATAAATCACCCCAAGCTTGGTGGCATCACCCAATGTTTTTTCCTTTTTTTAAAACACTGACAGCTTCTGTGGATTAGAAGTTTTCAAAAGGAACAGTGGCGGGGCTGGGGATGTGGCTCAAGCGGTAGCGCGCTCGCCTGGCATGCTTAGGGCCCGGGTTCGATCCTCAGCACCACATACAAACAAAAATGTTGTGTCCACCGAAAACTAAAAAATAAATACTAAAAATTCTCTCTCTCTCTTTAAAAAAAAAAAAAGGAACAGTGGCGACAATTTCCGAATTCTACTACAGGATGTCTGGGCTTTATCTGGTAAGACCGAAACCTGTGAATGACTTCAGCTGGGAGCTAGAATTATCTGAGCCTACATCACTCACAGGCCTGGTGCCTGGGTTGGGAAAATCAGAAGACTCATGCAGTCAGAAGAGTGCCTATCCATGGTCTCTCCATGAAGCTTGACTTCCTAACAGCATGGAAGCCACAGGGCAGTTAGACGTCCAGCAAGCTGCCTCTGGTCTCCAACACTCAAACTGGTTGCCAAGGGTTAGAGATTCAGAAGAGTTCAACTACAAAGAGAACTTTGAGGGTGATGGAACTGTTTGTGGTGATGGTGAATCTAAACATATGCTAAAACTTTCAGAAGTTTTAACACCCCTCCAAAAAGTCAATTTTTATTGTATGTAAACTCAAAAATAAAATTATGCTTTTCAACACTTTGTCCTAGAGGGACTGGACCACAAGTGAAAAATGACACAGATGGATCATAGACCTAAATGCAAAATGCAAAATTATAAAGCTCCTAGGAGGTAACATAGGAGAAAATCAATACCAGCATCAATCAGGCATATTTTGCTTGAGACCTCAGATGATTCCAGCTGCCCAAGCTGGGTAGAGCAGAGACAATTTTTCCTCACCAAATACTAAATAAATAATGGAATTATGAGCAAATATATGTTGTTGATGTTTAATGCTAATAAGTTTGGGGATGTTGTATTATGAAGCAATCGCCTACTGGAATAGGACTTCTCTTCCGTCTTTTTCTTCTGGATCTTGTAGATTGTTTCCCTTGTGGTGACCCCTGGAGCTTCCAGTTCTTCGATGGCACTGGCTTTGAGGAAACTAAAATGAAAAAGAAAAAAGTGTATAAGCTGCTTGTTGTGCTTCAAAATATCTTCTCCCCTTCTTCTATAGTCAAGTATTAGGCAAGCTCACGTTGCTTCAAACAGAGAACACATTTCCCAGGCTTCTTTGCAGCTAGATGCATCCATATAATGTAATTCCAGACAATAGGATGCAGGTGGAAGGAAAACATGCTGTGTTCAAGCTTTGGGCTGGAACATAAATGAGAGTGTCCCAACTGTAACCCTGCAGATGTGGACAATACCCTAGGAGATGGAACAACAGAGTAGAAAAACACCTGGATAACTATGTAGAACAGAGCAGCTTAGTCATCTTAAACCCCTGCTGCCAACCTCTTGATTGGTGTATGAGAGAAATAAACTTGCATTTTCTTGGAATGACTTCATTTCAGAGTCTTAGTTACAGCCACATAATCCTTTCTTCCTTTTTAATCTCTTAGTTCATTTTTTTGGTGTTCTTCTTCCCATATATTGGTGCATGACAGTTGTACATAATGGTGGGGTTTTGTTACATGTTCATACATGTTACATAGTCATACATGTTACATAGTCATACACAATGTAACTGTATCATTTGACCTATGTTATTCTCATGTATTTCCCCTTTCCCTTACCCTCTCCCTGCCCCCCTCCCTGCCCCCTCCCTGCTCCTCTACTCTACTGTTTTCTTCTTTATTTTATTTTTATGTGGTGCTGAGGATCAAACCCAAGGCCTTGCATGTGCTAGGCAAGCGCTCTACCACTGAGCCACAACCCAGCCCCTCCCTTCAGTTTTAATGAGATCCCTACCCCCACTACCTTTCTTTTCCTTTTTTCTTTCTAGCTTCCACATATGAGAGAAAATATGCCACCCTTGGCTTTCTGAGTTTGGTTTATTTTGCCATAATATTCTCAAATTCTATTCATTTTCCTGCAAATTACATAAATTCATTCTTCTTTGTGGCTGAATAAAACTCCATTGTGTATATGTACCACATTTTCTTTATCCATTTATCTGTTGATGGACACCTAGGCTGGTTCCACAGTCTGGCTTTTCTGAATTGTGCTGTTATAAACATGGGTATGCCTGTATTGCTATAGTATAATGACATTCTTTAGGATAAACACAGAGGAGTAATAACTGGTCTTATGATGGTTCCATTCCTAGTCTTTTGATGAACCTCCATACTGATTTTCTTGGTGGTTATACTAATTTACAAGCCTACCAACAGTGTGAAAGTGTACCTTTTCCTCTACATCCTCTTTTCTTGATGGCTGCTGTTCTGACTGGAGTGAGATGAAATCCCAGTGTAGTTTTGGTTTGCATTTCCCCAATTGCTAACAATGCTGAACTTTTTTTTTCTCATATATTTGCTGATCACATATATTTCTTCTTTTAGGAAGAATTTGTTTAATTTATTTGCCTATTTGTTAATAGGGTCATTTGGTTTGGGTTTTTTTTTTTTTTTTGTACTAGGAATTGAACTCAGGGGCACTCAACCACTAAGCCACATCCCCAACCCTATTTTGTATTTTATTTAGAGATAGGGTCTCACTGAGTTGCTTAGTGCCTCATTAAATTGCTGAAGCCAGCTGTGAACTCCAGATCCTCCTGCCTCAGTCTCCCAAGCCTTGGGGATTACAGGCATATGCCACCGCACCCAGCTTGGGTTTTTTTGTTTGTTTGTTTGGTTGGTTGGTTTTGGTGTTCACTTGTTTGAGTTCTTTAGATATTCTGGATGTTAATCCTCTGTCAAATGAGTAAGAAGCACAGACTTTCTCCCATTCTGTAGATTCTGTCCTCACATCCTAATTGTTTCCTTGGCTGTGCAGAAGCTTTTTAATTTTATGTCATTCTATTTACTAACTATTGGCATTATTTCCCATGTTTTGGGGGTCTATTGAGAAAGTTGTTTTGTGTGCCTATGTGTTAGAATATTTTCCTACGTTTTCTTCTAAGAGTTGTATAGTTTTGAGGGTAATTCTAAGGTCTTTAAACCATTTTGAGTTGATTTTTGTGCAGGATGAAAGACAAAGGCCTAGTCTTATTCTTTCATATATGGATAACTAGTTTTTCCAGCATAAATTTTTTTAAATATTTACTTTTTAGTTTTTTAGGTGGGTACAATATCTTTATTTTTTATTTTTATGTGGTGCTGAAGATCAAACCCAGTGCTTCACACGTGCCAGGCAAGTGCACTACCACTTGAGCCACATCCTCAACCCTCCAGCATAATTTTTATTTTATTTTAATATTTTTTTAGTTGTAGATGGACACAATATCTTCATTTTATTTATTTTTTCATGTTGTGCTGAGGATCGAATCCAGTGCCTCACACATTCGAGGCAAGCGCTCAACCACTCAGCTACAACCCTAGCCCCAGCATAATTTTTTTTTTTAAATCTTTTTAGTTGTAGGTGGACACAATACCTTTATTTTATTTATTTATATGTGGTGCTGAGGATGGAACCTAGTACCTCACATGTGCTGGAAAAGCGCTCTACCACTGAGCTACAGCCCTAGCTTTCCAACATCATTTTTTAAAAAGGTTATTTACTCTCCAATGTATGTTTTGGGCATCTTTTTTTTCAAGGATGTATCTGTATAGGTTTTTCTCTTTCTTTTTCTCTTTGTCTTCTTTTCTATATCATTGGTCTATGTGTTTTTAAGCCAGTACCATACAGTTTTTGTTACTTTAACTTTGTAGTATAATTTGAAATCAAGTATTGTGATGCCTCTAGCATTGCTTTTTTGGTTTAGAATTGCTTTGGCTATTCTGAGTGTTTTATTTTTCCAAATGAATTTTAGGATTTTTTTTCTAGTTCTGTAGAGAATGTCATTGGTATTTTGATGGGGATTAAATCTGTATATTGTTTAGTTTGTATGGTCATTTTACCAATATTAATTCTGCCTATCCATGGACATGGGAGGTCTTTCTTTCTTCTGAGGTCTTCTATAGTTTCTTTCTTCAATTTTCTATGATTTTTGTTGTAGAGGTCTTTCACCTCCTTGGTTAGATTTATTCCTAGATATTTTACTTTTTTGTTTTTTTGAAGCTATTGTAAATGGAATTGTTTCCTTGATTTCTTTCTCAGCAGATTCATAATTGGTTTGTAGGAAAAGTATTGAAATTTGAAAGTTGATTTTTTTAAACTGCTATTTTGCTGAATATGTTTATTAGCTCTAGTAGCAGTCTTTTGGTGAAGCCTTTTGAATTGTCTAAGTATAGGACTATATCATCTGCAACCAAAGTAATTTGATTTTATTATTTCCTGTTTTTATCTTTTTTATATCCTTCTTTTGTCTATTGCTTTGGCTAGAACTTCTAGTACTATAATGAATAGGAGTGACGAGTGGATATCCTTGTCTTATTCTGGATTTTAAAGAAAATACTCTCAGTTTTTCCCCACTAAGCATGATGTTGGTTTTGGATTTGTTATATATAGCCTTCATGATATTGAGGTAGGTTCCTTCTATCCCTAATTTCTTCAGTATTTTTATCATGGGTACTGAATTTTGTCAAAGGCTTTCTCTGTATTTATTAAGATAACCAAATGATTTTTGTCTTTAATTGTATTTATGTGATGAAATACATTTATTGATTTGTGTATGTTGAACCATTTTTTCATCCCTGGATTAAAGCCAACTTGGTCATATTAAGTCTTATTAATATGCTATTGAATATGATTTGCCAATATTTTATGAAGAATTTTTGCATTTCTTCTAGGTTTTCCAATTTATTGGAGTATAAGTTTTCAAAATAGTCTCTAATGATCTGGATTTGTATGATGTCTGTGGTGATTTCTCCTTTTTCATTTCTAATTTTATTAATGTGGGATTTTGCTTTTTTTCTTTTATTTGGTTAAGGTCTTGTCAATCTTTTTTATTTTTTCAAAGAACCAACTCTTCATTTCATTCATCTTTTGTATTATTTTTATTCTCAATTTCATTGATTTTGGTTCTGAACTTAATGATTTCTTTCCTCATTCTGGTTTTGGAATTAGCTTATTCTTCTTTTTCAAGGGCCTTGAGATGCATTGTTAGATTTATTTGGGATCTTTCTGATTTTTTTATGTAGGCACTTGTAGCTATAAATTATTCTCTTAGAACCACCTTCATAGTGTCCCAGCATTTCTGGAATGTAGTATCATATTATGTTTGATTCTAAGAACATTAAAATTTCTCCCCTGATTTGTCTATCATCATTCATCATTCAAAGTGTATTGTTCAATCTCCACATGTTTATATAATTTCTTTCTTTTTCTTTTCTTTCCTTTCTTTATTTATTTTGGTACTGGAGATTGAGTCCAGAGGCACTTTACCATTAAGTCACATCCCAGCCCTTTTTTATATTTTATTTAGATGCATGGTTTTGCTGAGCTGCTTACAGCCTTGCTAAGTTGCTGAGATACTGGTTTTGAACTCACAATCCTCTTGCCTCAGCCTCCCAAGCCACTGGGATTACAGGCATACACTACCATGCCCAGTCATTTATATAGTTTCTGCAGGGTTTTTTGGTGTTTATTTCTAATTTTATTCCATTTTGATCTGATAAGATGCAACGAATCATATAAAGTATT